TTAACTGCGAATAAAATGATTTGCCAGAGCTGATTAAAGTTCAGTTTTGGTTCGGTACTGAATTCGGCTGTTGATTAGGCCCACGCTATACCATGTCTATAAAAGTACCTACGACCAAAACACTTGTTAGTTTACTGATGCTGAGCACGGACCCAAGGTCCGACTACTTAAATATGGGGATGGATAGGGTTCAGTGTCTGAGATGGTCAGACCGTCTGAATTTTGGATGGTGTCACATGCCACCTTCCGGTAGTTACCCCGAGTATCTACGCCTCGTGAGTGTTGGGTGAGTGAATGCCGATTTATTCCATAGAAATTGGTTGAATCAGGTTCAACTCTCAGCCCCTTAGGACCGAAATCGCACATGGGTGATGATGGGAAGCCGAATGCTCAGGTCGTGCCTGCACGCTGCTTTATAAAAGAACTTTCTCATATTCATACTGCATTTATACTTTGCCCTCGAAAAAAGTCATGCGTTTGTCAACCTTTCTGCAAGATATACGGTGACTTTGTTTTATGCGGTATCGTGGGCAGGACAGCAACAAAAATGTCACGTCTTCCGGGACACACCTACCTGAGGTTCCATGCAGTGGAGTTTGCGCTCAATCTCTCACCGCCTTTGACGGGTGATATAAGCATTGCTATAAAATTCGTTATCCAAGTTTAACATCTAGGTTTCCACAACAAACATCTAGAGTACTTTCTTCACAAAATACTTCCGGGGATATTTACCCTTCCTGAAATTTATCTTAAGGCCGCTCATTTTAAGTGAGTGGAACGTTCCTATCCCTGTGTTCTGTTTAGACGATCATCCTTACCAGAATACTTACGCTTAGGAATCCTATTTGCAAAGTTACAAATCTCATAGTCCAATTTTTCGACCCAACAATGTTGGACTCGTCTAAGGCGGTATCTCACCCTCCCACTTTTTTCCTTTGCACTGATGACCTGATGCTTGTAATTTAAAGGTTGTCGCAAAACCAGTGTTGTTTTGACAGCGTGGTGTGATAGTCGATGACACCGAGCCAACCATTGTTCGAACCCACTGATTATGGCTGATGAACCAGAACAGGCCATTCTATTCTCCCTAGTCTTTTTGGCAATGCCATCTGCTTAGTCAACTAGCCACTGTGCTGCTGCTGGCGGGGCTCGCAAATGAGCCCTAAGACAGAACCGGACGAATGAGTTCCGGTAGCAGTCGGTGAACAGTCATCAGGTAATGAAGACCAGATCACTGGACCTTTTTAACGTAGTTTATAAAATATCTATAACAAATACCGCGAGCCGTATAAATTAATTATCCCATGTGATGTAGGCTGGCAATAATGAAAAAAATATACTTTAAACAGAACAACTTTACGGACAAAGACATAGTAAACTGGAATGGTTATTTTGGCTAGCCAAATACGCATCCAAAGTTTGCAACCTCTAGGGCCTGGACCTGCGACCTTTAGGTTAGAAGTTCCAATGCCCTAACAATTAAGCCATGGGCTCTTTGTCCTGTCAGCTGAAATCGGGTGTATATATATATATATATATAT